GCTTCGGCTTAGCACTAGCGATTGATGATAGGTGGGCTACACGCAGATCATTTAAACTGACGGCCTCACGAGTATCCATACCTTCCGCAACCACATCTGCCTTTAAGTCTACTTCACGTTCAAGCTGTACAGAACCCTTGTTCAACTCAGAAGTAGTAGGCATTCCCCTCATCTCAGCATGATCAACCAAAGACAAAAGTGTACTATCATGATCATTATAACAAATATTCATTTTACCGTCGTCTATCTGGTCGACTTCATCATTTTCAAACTCTTTAATAACAGCGGAAGATGATTTGGGTTCTTCCTCATAAATCCTTAAAGGTTCTCTACCTTTACTCTGACTAGTAATACATTGAAAACTTGTGAAGTCTGGACTGGAGTCTGAATCTATAACTCTCTTCTCATGCACAAACTGCGGTGTCGTTTGTGACACTCCATTCAACAATGGCTTACCAATTGCAACTACAGGCTTCTTCACTGCACCATTATCGTCACACGATCCGTAGTCAGAACTTGATGACGCTGATTTCACATTTAGCTTATCACTAAACTCGGTCACTTCTTCACGGTTCGCCTTTGTATGCGCTTCTTGCAAACGTGTAAAACACAACCGTGTCTGTCTCGCAACTTGTAACCTATCTGTTCGGGATGTCCCGCGAAGGCTGTCACACTCACTAAGTTTATATGGATTACTAGACACCATAAATCTTTCTCAATATCCACTCCTCTGTGACCCTTTCGTCATGAATGATTACGTTTTGCTTTCAGACCGCTCTATTCTAGGGGTGAGATGCAATATGCTGGCAAACTTGCTCATAGCTTGATTGATACTATCGTCTACCAGTTTCAGAATATCATCAAACTTTGGCTTAATACCTTCATCCTCTATACGAGAGCTTATCTTCACCCACTTCCCTTGCAGTCGAGTAGGTAGGCGTCTCGCTATTACCTCTAGGACGGAACTTGAGTTCAGATCGCTCATGCAACTCATCGAAATCAATGTATTCTTGTAAGTCATCAGATTATCCAAAAACTCAGAGAGTCCCTTGGAGCCATCTTGTAATTGACTACCACTACTCTTAACAGCCTCGAATACGTTCCTTACAATCAGCGAAGGTCTTCCGAATCTTTGACGCAGTATACTCATAGCCTCAGGGTATCCTTCGTTTGGCTTCATAAACTTTCAGCACTGTATAGCTCTTGAAGCAACTCCAGTGCAGTACGTCAACAAACACATCAACTTCATTTCATCATTTATTGCAAGCCCACTCAACATGACTTCAAACTCCTTTACAAACTGTGGATAGCCAGCTGGGTTTCTATCGAAACACCGAGGTTCAAATTTAGGCAGTTTAAAATTTCTATTATCTCTAGACGGCGAAACATGAACAACAGACTCGTCATGCTGAGCATCATACACATCATTACATGTAACAGACAACTCAACATTAGTTACTTTCCTGCTTGCTTCCATGACGCTTTGACCCAGGCATCACTTCCAGAAAAGTCCCATATATTACTTGTCCAAAGAAGACTTGCAGGCGCCGAGAAAGACGAACAGAAACTAACAAAAACTATCAGAAACCGTCCGTCAACTCAGAAACTGTCAACGCCCAGCTCTTACTACACTGGACCTCACTCTGTCCCTGGAAGACTTTCTGAAACACTTTGTATTCACCAACGCGAAAAACCAGAACACAGATTGGCGACTCGAGAATCCTTTATTCTCACGTCAATATGTAACCAACAATAAGGTTATTACACACAAGTTTCTGACAGTTTTCCATTTTTCACAGAACAGCGAACGATGAGACGATGACTGATGGATTGATGACTCCCGCGAACGATATGCAGGAGTTAAATTTGAGCAAGCAACCATGAATTGATATTTCAGTCTTCATTTCGTTTGAATATAGTTGTAAAATATGTATCTGTTGGTAATTTAGAATATGTTCTCTGCATGTTTTCACCGAGTTGACTGCAGATGAACTGTTATTCTGAATCGTTTATCCTTCTTATCTTGCTTGCAGTCTTCGTAGTATGCTCTCGGTTGAATTTTTATTTGTTTCTGGAAAGAAGATATACGACTGCTTACCAGGAAATCGTGGATAATATGATAAATTCAAGTAAATGACATAAACTGCCAAGCTACCCCACATCGTAACCATAACTCTTATCCAATCCGTAATTCTAAACCTAATGTTAGTTATTATCCTGAGCTTATCTCCAACTCCAACACTTACTTTAGCCCTAATCCTGAATCTAACGAGCTATTGACACACTGTCCGAACGGTACTTAAAAACGTGATCTGGGTGAAATTCACTGTTAAGTTTGTGAATAGCCTTGATATCATAGCTATGATAATGACAAATTCCGTTAGCCAACGACTGGCATGCATTGGAGGTCATTGTAGAGCTCACACTTCCAGGACGCTACTGTTGAACTTCGCCCTTTTTCTTATGTGTTGCAGGTAAACTTAAACTGTCACAGCCGAAATCATAGCGATCTTGGTCAACCGAAAATGAGCATACTCTAAAATGTCGGGAAGTTGAACCTAGGCATCAAAATGCAGCAACGGACTAATGACCCTGGGAGCATCAGCCACACGAAAAAGGCGGCTTTTAATTTTAAAATACGTACTTGTGCGAAAGTGATGAATAAAAACACATACAAGTCTTGCACGGGACACGCTTTGCTGGAACATGACAAAAATTCCTCTCTATCTTGAATGGGAGTGTCAAGAATGTGATTACTTCATATTCTACACGTGTTTCTCTAGGTCTTGTGACCCTCATCCTAGTCTTTCCTTAATGTAATCCTTACTCCAAACTACTTGTAAGCTGACCTTAATCCAACTCGAACTTGCCGTAATATCTCCCTTATAAGGTTAATCTAACCTTAGCTTATTCTTAGCCCAAAAATTAACTTAATGCTTCCTAAATCTAGCGAAAAACTGCTGGATAACGCTTTTAGTATCGAGACATGCCATCAAGCATTTTCTACTGATGATTATATTGGTATTCACTTGGTTTCGCTTACTTTCTGACGAGCGTTCCAAGGTCACTGGTGCTATCACACTCCAAACATACACAGCACACATGATATTACACTGCACAATCGTCTCTTTTGTTGTAAGAATGTATCCCAGTTAATCCAAGGATAATTTATGGAGAAACCAAACCTTGAGTGATAGACGTATACATGTAGGTGACTACAGTTCATGTTAATTTGAGACTAATCAATATTCCATACATTTTTTTAACCTACCCCAAACACTGACCTTAATCCCACAAACTTCAACCCCAACCATGCATAACAGCATAGATTTACAGAAAGCACACTAATGCATCTACGCTCAACGAATCCAAAAAGACAGGCCTGATTTGAAATGATCTAAATCTGAAGGTCAACCTTTGGCAGACCCTAACTTTAGCTGTAATAGTTTGACTTCACTGTGTTTCAGTAGTATCTCGCGCTTCAGTCTTCAGTGAAAGTCCAAACTTATTTGCGGCGTAATTCGTGTATTGCGCCTAGATCTCCTCGCACTTTCCGTGCGTTCATCTGTTAGACGTCCGTTCACCTGGATCGCTGTAGTTTACAGTAAACCTGCTCAAATTAAGTTATGCTACAGTAGGAAAATAAGTTCAACCAGATAGGTGAATATAAAACAGTCTCAGTAATCGATATCCACTAGCAGCCTTCTTTTTGTTCTTTTAGAGGATTGGTTCGATATCCACATTCCTCATCTTAGTATGTTTCCCAGTGGTGAAAGGCAGTGCGATCCTTTTTCTCAAAGAACTTTATGACACTGAATGCCCGTTAGTTTAACAAAATGGACCTATCCTTGCTATTTGTTTAACTGGATGCATATGTGAGAAGGTATGTTCCACCGATGACATTGGTTGGTGGTCGCGCGAAATCACAAATTGGTAGAAGTTAGAATTCACGAGCCATTGAATTGGATCACAGTGGCTGAATTGTATACGAGCTTGCCTTGCAACTGGAAGGTCCTGGGTTCGAACCCCAGTGAGTGCGTACTGCCGATGATTCCCAAAACTGGGATGGAACAGCTCTCCAGTACTCCCTGACTTTCAATGGTTCTCTAACTGATATCGATTCGTGAAAACAAACCTAATCCTTACAAACCAACTACTGAGGATGCATGTATGCCATATTTCACTTGTAATGCAACTTTCTATTGATAACTGAAGCCAATTCTTTCTACTGATCTTCAGATTCTGGATTCGGATATTTTGCTTACAAACATCTAATTTTGAAGTGAGACTTGAAAGCTGAGTTCTTCAGTTGAATAACAACAAAACGCGACAACCAGACTATGAAACTCATTCATTTAAGTGAGCCATTTAGTAAAATTCAGAGCCTTGTCATTACTACATTCATTTACTTTCTTCTTCACAGAAAAAAAATAATTTTGTGAATATCTGCTCTAACAGTCATAACCTTAAAATAACAAGTACATAAACGAAGGACAAATAGAGATATCTTCAGATATTTATTTTATGTTAGTTTTGAGTGGACCTAAGCTATTCTATGAATTCTACGATAAGTTTATTTTAAGCATAACAAGATCGAGAGTTCATTATATATCCCAAACTGGGGAACTTTTAATTTCAAAATATACACCGGAAAAAATTTCAAGTTAATGATTTAATTGAAAAGACTAATGCAAATTAATTAATTCATTAGTGAAAACAATAAAAAAGAAAAAGTAATCATTCTTAATGCAACTACCGATGGTTTCTGCAAAAGTATAAAAAGTTTGAAAATTACCAGACAAATAGAAGCAATGATTTTTCACAGTAAAGTACAATTTTTTTTCCTTTTAGTTGAATGATTTTATGTCAAATATAGTGTCAAGCGGAGAAGTATGACCAACATTTACTACTGACATATCTTTAACTGGTAAATTATAAAATGGATTGTTGCCAAGATAATAATTATTATTTTGGAGATTGTCATTATTCATCCGTGATATTTATTTTGTAGCCACGTTATTGCATGAAAATGGATCATCAAGTGGGAATCTTTTAGACTGAAACTAATGCAAATGAGAGATTTCAAAAACATTAATAATAAATAGCAAGAACAACAATAATAAAACGACTGTTACTTTTAAAAGGCGTTTAGGAATTACTGAGTATTATGTTTTGTAGACTTAGCCGTAAGTTTCTTTCGAATGAGACAACTTTATTAGACTTATTTTTTCAAGGCAGCATTTTAAACACATAAAGTCTTAACAAACAGATCAAAAATTTTTACTTAGTAGATTCCCTTAAAAACAAGGTTCTGAGTTTCATTATTCTTATCAATACAGTCAACTTATTTATGATATACTGAATCAGACTTCAGATAACATTGATGGGAGATTGCCGTAAGTGTCCATTTATGTTTAATTTAGAAGCATTGATGTAGATATGATAATTCTGTTTTTATTGTAAAACATAAGTTAAACAATGAATCTATAGAATAGAATAAACTTATAATTTTCGACAATGATTGAAATTAATTTCACTATACTAGGACAGTGAAGTCTAATCGAAACAATTTTCTATTTAATGACCTGTCTTAAAATTGGTTGACAACTTTAAACGAGAGGTACTTAAATTTTACCATTAATAACAACAGTATAAACAATGCGAACAAGTTAAACTTTGATAGACAACAAACTATAACTTGTTTATTGATGTGAGGCACACATACGGATTCCAGATGATGATACAGTAGTTAATGATAAAAATTGGTTAGAGATAGTTCGTAAGAAACTTATAACCTTGTACTTGTATCTAATATTGACTATCACTTCACTTATGCTGTCTAATGCTTTTAGTTATAGTCACGTAAATCAGTTCAAATGTGTCCGATCTATCAAAATTAAAAATTACACCATCTTCATTTATATATTTCCTTAGACAAAGGAAATAACAAGAACGCTAGAGAATTTTTAGAAGCTTGGCATTCCAGTGAATCATCAATCAATAGACACATCGAGATAGACAAAATTTATCAACCAATAAGAAAGAAACTTCACACACAAAGGGTCAAAGTTCAAGTCAAAGAAACAACCGGTTCCAATGCAAGTAACCTAGAAGGTGTGAGAACACACACAAACAACCAATCACGTCCAAGGTCACCAGGAGAGAGGATTAATAAACTTGTGGAGAAATCTAAAAGCTCACTTCAAATTGAAGTATCCGCTGAAGATGTCACCCAGTAAGGTGATGAAAGCTTCGCAAACTAACCATCCAGCTCAGAGAACAAAACCACATCAAAATCATCCACCTGGGCTACAAATCTTCTCTATCATATCATTTATATATATATATATATATATATATATATGTAATCAGTGTAGGAGCTGTTGGCAAACTTTACGATGGTATTTTAGTAACTTTTGGCCTTTCAACTGAACATGGTGTGACATTCAGATTAAATTCTTAGCATTCTCACTGAAGGTCATATAACCAATGGATTTCTACAAGCAGTCAAATATAAACAAGTATCAAATCTAGTTTAAATGTAAAAATTCGAAGTTGTAATAAAAATTAGGAAGTGATATTTCTTATGAGATTTGTTTTGAAGATTAACAGGTGCAAATATCTGCAGCTTTTTAAGTGGAAGTACCATATTCTCACGTATAAAACTGTTGACAAATAATCTGAAATCAGAGCCGATAAAATTGCTACAAATCCTTAAACTCATTAAACAGCTTTCATAAAGCTATAAAACGTCATCAAAAAGTGTGTATAGCTGAAATACGAAAATTTGGGAAAGTGCAGTTTGACATTAGTTAATTTGTTAGTCATATCACACTGTCAAAAAAAATATGGATTATTGAGTAGTGTTTTAAATACAATTCATTATACATCATTGTAAGAAAAGTTACTGGAAGTTATCATCATAATATTATTCACTGAATACTACTGTTCCATCGCCGTGTACTTATCACATAAATTAGCAATGAAAACAAATAAGTTTGCTATATTTTATTTATTTTTTTATTTTTTTTATTTTTGATTTACAGCTTGATTCCACACTGTATTTTTGGTACAAGTATGGAATTTTCAGCATGGATATCGGTAGCCCAAATTTTGCAGGCCGACCATAGATATCAGGTGTGCGTCGGTGCGGGCTCGAACCCCGGACCATGTGCATGGTCGGTGAGAGTCCTAACCACTTTGCCACCGACGCCCAATAATTCGGCATTGAAATTTTTTTTTTAATTACGATGGAAAGCTTAGTGAAACAGCATGATGTTCATATACACTAGAAGTCAGAGCAACCGCTAAGGATGCTAAATCAGAAGAAAAAATGTTCTGAGGCGAAAAAAATAAACAAAATTTAATTTCAGAGTCCATTTTAAAAACTTACAAACCACTTCACCAACTTATTTACTTTTTTTCTCAATACTCTAAACATAAAATGCTAAAATAGTTATTTTGTAGTTTCATTTAAGGCAACCTGCAATTAAAGTATCAACAAGGAAACATAATACAACTTCCAGGAAAGAAGTTTAGTCAAAGTGAAATTCTAGTTGAAATAATTGTTTTGATGACAGCATTTCTGAAGCATTCAAAATTCATCCTATTAGGAGAGAATCATAGGGATTCAGTTTGAGATTAGCACCGAAGATTTTGTTGTGAAATTTTTGTAACTGAACCGTCCAGTTCGAAGAACACATTGTTATTATTTTATCCTTTAATTCCTAGAGGAACATAGGGCTTCAGCTGCGCACCTCCATTGCTTTCTGTTTTCTGCCAACTTTTCCACCCCGCTCCAAGTCTGCCCTCATGCTTTCATCTCCTCCTCATATGACCTCCTCCAAGTCACCCTTGGACGACCAACTCGCCGCTTCCCTTTCGGCCTGGTTCCACTCGAGCGATGGCTTGTCTAGTGATGTCACTTGATGGTTTCCTCAGAGTATGGCCGATCCGTCTCCATTTCTTCCTGACTATTTGTTTCACAATCGGTTCCTGGTTGGTTGGTTCATTGCCAGAAATCCCTGTTGCTGATCTTTTCTGACCGGCCATCTCATCTTGAGTATTCAGCGAAGACAGCTGTTGATGAAGGTCTGTAGTTTGTTTGAGATGCTCTTTATGACGCGCTGGCCAAGTCTCTGATCCGTATAGTGAGTAGCACTGACTTCACATTGGAGTTGAAAATCCGGATCTTATCTTTGATGGTGAGTGATGTTGACCTCCACATAGACTTAGGAGTAATGAAAGCTTGTCTTGCTTTTACGATTCTATCTTTGATATCCTCGTCAGTTTCGTGCGGCTGTAGCTGAAACGATGTTTCCCAGGTAGGCAAAAGAGGTTGTTTCTTTCAGGTTCCTCCCATTTATGCTGATTGTTGTCTGTTGCTGTTGTTGCTGTTGGTGTTGGCCAGGAATCTTCATCACCAACACATAACAGAAATGAAAACATTCACCGTAGCTACACATTTTATCGATTATTACACAATGAAGAGATTTGAAAATACTGCATTAATTCTTTACATATTAATTTGAATAAAAATTTAGACTTCATTAAAATCATATATGAATTTCCCAGTTAACTTCAGTAAAAGTTATTTTAAATCAAACAAATAGATGTGTTTTCATGATAAACAGCTTGAAACAAGCTCTCTGTTTACTCTTAAAGTCAGTCTTTTTCACTAGACAAAGAAAGAAAATTACTGATAAAAAAAGACTTCTGAGTTATTCAGATACATTTAACAGACCTGTGTATCCACATTTTTTGCACAAATATCTGATAACTTCTTATTTTTTATATTGACTTTAGAATCATATTTCACTAGTCAAATCATATTCAGATAAGGAGGCACATCATCCACACTTTTTAGAAGTAGTTTATAGTATTACGAACCTAACCAGTTTCAGCAAACAAGATGAGTACTATTTGTGCAGCATGCACAGTAACAAAATATCATGGATTGATTACGTGGTTTACTTCTCATATCATTGTTGACTGATAATTATTTCAGTTCGATATTTTGTTATCATATTATCAAAATAATAATAAAGGTATTGTACACACAACTACAGAAATAACTTTTTCATTTTAAAAGTAGACACTAAATGTTTAGAGTTTCTCAAAACATATTTCATATAGAGTACCTGCTAAAATTTGCATGATTTCTGGACAAACCAATTATCAGTAAAAGTGATTTCATAATCCACTGTGAAAAGGATACTACCGGTATGTTTCATTTGAAATACACTTGACATTTCTATACTTCGTAATGCAACAACTGTGTCCAGCACTTATTGATTAGAGTAAAATCAAAATCAAGAAAAAGCTGAAAGATCAGTTTAGCACTAATGCTATTCTAGTTTTCTCGTACTTATAGTGTAAGATGTTTGTCTAAGAAAATATCATTCATCATCATTTGTACTTATCGCATGTTCTGTATCTGGTTTCATTTTTAAACTGCAAGTGTAGTATAGTTACAAGAAACTATAAATTTATGGCTAATTATATCTAGAAATGCTAAGTAGTATTGTAGTTTGTTTTGTTCATTGGATTCATGTATAGTGAGAGAAACACAAACATAAGAGAGAGAAGCTTGCTTATACATTCAAAACATTCTCGTTTATTTTCTCTGACTAAGCTACTCATAAAAATATGCAACGCAAGACAAAGTAATATGTCATAGGATTTATGCAAATTCTTTATTCACACTACATAATCATTATTACCTCATGAGCGAAATGTTGTGCTTAATTCGCTAAGAATATGTCGCATATCGTTCACATGTTTGTGATAAAAACACAAAGCTTAAAGTCATCAGTTACATAATTTGCATATTATGCAACCACATTATTAAACGTACATGTTGTACTAGCATATCGCCTAACAAGTATGACTATAGAAGTCTGTGTTTAAAGGAATTGTAGGTAGTTCTTTAAAATGAAAGCTTGATGTATATTCGTTCAAACCGCTAAATGTACTAAATATCTAAAAAATATAATATTCAATAGAGAATTCGTTTCTCCATTCAGAATTCATGCATTTTTAATATATTTACCATTTACTAGCAGATATCCTAAAAATTTACTTCATGTTGATCATTATAATATATCTAAATTTGTCTATTATATAAGAATGCTTAGCTTATTATAAAAACGAACCACTATCTTATTACGAAGCATCTATAAACGCTGTAACGAATGTGTTCAGAAGCCTGAACAAGAGAAAGATGATCAGTGAAAATATTTAAGGCTATGAAAAACTTCCATAAAGTAGCCACACACAGCAATATAAGTTAGGAGATGTCTACGTTGAATTTAATTTCGTAAACGTCTGTCCAGATGTTTTCAGCAAATAGGACTGAAGAATTCGCAGTCAAGAAAAACTGTCCAGTTATTTCACAAACACTTGCAGTTATTATTTGTCCTATCGTGAAACCTCTATTGAGTTTAACCACTTTTCCTATACCCTTATAAGTTTCTAAATTAAAAAAAATCACTCGATATAAGATATTAAGGTTAATTGCTTATTTCTACTAGCATGCATGCTGCGTGTCTAAATTCTTGTTTCACTTGTTCAACTAATAGCTTTTCCTTGACTAAAATGTATTTACAACCGTTTTCACGTTTGTGTCGAAAGCCCTTGTCTATATTTTCTTTGCTGTCTATTTCCTTAAAATGCTGCTTAAACTTGACGATTTTCACGTCATTCTCTGAAAGTAAATACAACTGATAGTAGGGTATATTTTACGATGCGCCAACATTTCATTATTGAAATAAACAATTTAAATATGTAACACTTTTATATAATTTTTATGCAAGAAGAGAACAAACTATAACTGTGTTATCATTTGTCAATATTGCTCGAAAAAATCAATGAAAGTATAGTGCAGATGCGGTATATATTAACTTACAGACTGAATTCCTGAGAAGGCAGTTGGCCAAACGTTAGCAGTTGTAGAATGCGATTTAATATAAGGAGGTGTGTTGTAGGGTACAGATCCAGTCACGCCTGTAAATGAAATAGGACTGTGTTTTAAATCAGGTTTCCGATTATCCGTGTTAGTTGGTGAGACTAAATAAAAATGAGCATATTTAGAAAAAATAATTATTTTAGATATTATTATTATTATTGCACTTTAAATGTATCATTTGTTTAGTTAGACGCTTGCTCACTCACTAATATTTTTTTTATTGTAACGATTTGCAGATTGGTGATGAAAATGGAAAAAAATCATCCAAAGATTACGGACTATGTATTATAACAGACAATTAATACTACGTTGAAATCTGCTTAAAATCTTTTTTTGAGTGAGTGAAATTCCTTAAAAAGTGACGAAAAGCTAGAATTTTCAAGATTAGCTGAAATTCTCATATGTGTTTTATTGATGTCTAGCTATGACAAATTCCTGCTCCTCGACAGATAGAAAATAATACCAAGTAGAAGTGAAATTATGATGGCTCTGTTGTCACAAATTATACAAACTTAAGCCAGTTAAATTACTAAAAGATACCTTTGAAAAGACGCCAGTTTTTTTTTACAACTATACCTCCTTAATTTAATATACAACAGTCAAAATGCAGTTTTCTATGGAAGTCCTCTTTGTTCTCCATTAGGTCTGCATTGTTTGTGGAAGCGCAGCATTTATATAACAGTAACTTCCTTTGCTAGATGTGGTTGATTCCTTCTGAGAGGCACGGTCATAGGATGGTCCTGCATAATAGAATACCGAGTTTAGGCCAGTATGGTTGGTGACGACCAGAACATTTTATAACTGACACACCTCTGTACAAGTGAAAGGCCGGAATATTAAGGACTACAAGATATAGATTTACGTCCACTTGATTATAACAATAGCAACAATAAAATCAACGAGAATGGCCACTTGGATATTAAAAACCAATTAGGAAAAGTGTTATATCTAATCTTTCTTCTAATGTTAGGCATTACTTTATCATTTTTGGAAAATGTTAACCTAAATTAAAAATCTACTCCGATCACGATATTTTGAGTGAAGAAGCATTCATAAGGCATTCTTGAGATTGGGCTGAAAATTTCATTTTGCAACAATTAGACTCACAGAATCCTTTATTATTCTTGAAGAACTGCTGATTATTTGATATTGGTGACCATAAATCCACAGGTGCATTATCTGTCCACACAGGGTCTTTATTACCAAAGTGATCATCAAAGGTCGTCCAATTACTTCCTATTTCCTTTTTTAAATTTCAAAAAAATATATTATATTTGTAAAGAATATCACAAAAACTTTGGGACAAAACAATAATAAGAGTAAAATCTAGAAGAAACAATGTGAAGCACAGCATAAACCAAATTAGAGAAAAGAAACATGACGGAACTAAGATGGGTAAAGATGTGCGGGAAAGAAGAGATCAGTGCAGGATGACGAGTAGTGAATACATCTACGCTATCAGAGATCATTTTGAACTAATTATTGTGGCAAATAATGATTTCATGATAGTTTTATCTGATGTAGCACAGTTTGACACAGTATTATTAACTAGAGGATGTTTTGATAACTATTGAGTATTTACAATTATATCAAATTAATTATAATACTTTCAAAGCTGACTTTTCTTCATTCATTCTATCAGAAGCATAATTTATGCAACGTTTAATATCAGTAAAAAGTTTGAGCATTGGGGATTAGATCAAATAAAGTATAATTATATTTCAGTAGTTTACACACAATGATAAGTTTTGTTCTTGGTAATAAAACAATTCCAACAGTGGTGTGAACACGGGCAGTAATTTTGCTCGAAATATTACCAATAATAAAACTAATCATTGTGTGTAAACTATTGAAATATATTTATACTTTATTTTATGCAACGTTCGTTCAGTTAATTCCGTTAAAAGCAATTGGTATTAATTCAACAAGTATAGATTCAGTAATCAATCCATCTTTCCATTCAGCTGTATTGGAACTCAAAACTTTCTTGTTACTTCAGTCTTTTGTATATTTATGGGTGATTGTATGCACTACAACAGCTGGAAAAATCTGTGGATTACTTAATTTGTTATCACCTGTCAGTATATAATTAGCTAATTTTTCTTGTTTCGATATTCGAACGTTACCCAATCTACCCTTTTCACCTATGTCTACATCTTGTAATCATGATATGGTGTTTAATGAGCTGAATAGCTTTTCTGCAAAGCTCCATGATAAATTTCAATCAAAATATCTTTATTCAGACGCACTAATAGGCTTGACTGCTACCCTGACCTCATCTTTCAACTACCGGGAAGACGATTTTCAGTTTGGATTGTAAATCGAAATGCGTTGATTTTCCAAAAATATTTCGAAATTAAGTACCAACATCCCCCTTAAGTATGTAGTAAAATTACATATACTGGGAAAGGTTGAAATAATTACAGGCGACATTTAATCAGAGATGTAAATAATCCATAGCATATAGATTTATACTATTTATAAATGATTCACCTCTTCATTGTCTAAACGTGTTCATTCAATTCTACAAGTTTTCTTTATGGTTGTAGAAATATTTCATGAAAGGGTATGATTTTACACAGTGATCTTGGAATCCTATTGATTTGTTCTTCTGACTTTATCTTTCTTTCTTACTTGGGCAAGATTTATTCTTTGATTTAAATTCTTTTACCAAAATATTCATACTTCTTCCTCTTGTGCTGAACAAATCTATACTTCAAAATTTTTGTTACTTTTGCTTCACCTGTATAAAAATCTTAACATGTCAAATTTTTACGAGTTATACACTCCTTTCTTATGTTTACACTAAATTGGAAGCCACTAGTATCAGTTTTATATTAGAATTTCATTTATCGAATGAGTCAGACAAATCATTTGAGATAAATGTGGCTCTTTTATACATTCTGTTGTTTTACTACTGAAAACATATCTGTGATGCATCAAAAAGTGACTCATTCTACTATACTTTCCCTCCATGAAAGACTGACACGAACAATGAATCACACTTTTTGGTGTTTAGCACAGAAATAACGGTCAGCTATCATCTATATTTATAAAATGTCACAGTTCTACTGAATTGATCGTGATTGTATCAGCTCTGCAACTATACTTTGAAGGCATCATTCAGTTGATCAACTTCAAAGCAGACTAAGTGAGACAATATAAACATTTTAAAACAATATTTTTTTATTTTTGATTACAACTTGATTCCACACCGTATTTTTGGTACAAGTATGGAATTTTCAGCATATGATATCGGTAGCCCGAATTTTGCAGGCCAACCATAGATATCAGGTGTGCGTCGGCAGGGGATCGAACCGCGAACTATGTGCATGGTTGGCGAGAGTTCCAACCACTGTGCCACCGACGCACATACATTGTCCGACAAAATCTGTTACTATTTATTAATATTATTATCGAAATTCTCAACTTTACAGTATGGCGATTAAGCAGCATCCAAATGCTTAAAACAGGCGTACTATATATGTGTGTTTTGTTTTGACAGTTATACCAAAATACTTGTAAAACAGTTCATTTAGTTTCTATAGATTCAACTTACTTTATTGAATGCAGTAGGATATTTCTTGTTATTCTGATGGATTTCATTAGGTGAGTTAATGCTATCACTAATGTCGACTAGCTGGATTAAGTCAGAATCATTTTCCTCTTTAGTTTCAAAACTTTTTGTATCGTTGGGATTTTCTGATGAATTAGATACACCCTATAGAAATATGCATAGTTTTGAAAATATGAATGTACAACAGTCTACTAAAGAATTAAAATAAATTTATTATGTTTTGAAAAGGGTCAGTAAAAGTTGTATAAACAGATCTGTGAGTCAACATCAGTTATGGTAAGATTTGCTTATAGGAAAAATATCTGATACACGTAGAAAAATCCAGGAATTAATATCGTTTCATTTACTACCATTTCGGCAAAACACATGAAGCAAGCAAACTGGCTTTAAGTTTTTTTATAAGTCTTTCTTTAAACCACTATGTATTAATTACATTTGAGCTAAACACTCTAAGGTTTAAAAAATTAGTGGAAATTTACATAATTTTTCGATGCACTATAGAAAATTTCACATTCTAGGACAACAATGCCCACAACAAAACTGTGTTATTACCACACGGTTTTCCAAAACCAGTGAGCGTAATGATGTCATGTAAAGATCTCAGTCAAGAAACATGATATATTTGTTTCATGTTAATTTGAATAACCCTGGTTAATATTTCTAGGTATCTTGAATTGCATCACATGCTAGTGATTCAGTCATTATATCACAATATTGGGCAAGATGGAATAAATGCACTAAATCTCAGCTCATGTGATTTGTGTGTTTTGATTACCCAGTAATGCAAGTATAAAAAGAAATCAACTCGTTTGCAGTGCATGAAATCACACGTAGAAGACATGGCGTTAAGAAACTAAGAACTCTGCTTCGCATATATGTTTTCAGATCAGTTTTAGATTATTACTAAATATGCCAAACCGAATAATGTGGCCAAAAAATGCCATTTAAGTGCTTCAAATTCAAAACAGAAACAATCAAAATCAAAATGCAACGGACGTGTTATAGAAATTTTTTGTGAGTACTGAATAATTAGACTTTAGATTGGTTGACTTATTGAGTGAAGGACCACTATAGAACTCACTCCTAAGCAAAATAAATTCATAAAGCCACATTTTGAAACAATATGCATAAAGAAAACAAGAAGGGGACTACACTAGAGTGAACAGAGTTACAAGAAATAATGATTAAATGTAGCCTATCAAAGATATTCTAAATTGAGAATGTCACTATGAGTTAGCGCATATGCAAAACTGTGAATTAACTCGAGTCATGTCAATAAGGGTCTCCAACTTCCAGTTTTCTAAATCCCCAACATCTCGGCCAAACCAGACTTTATGAGATGGCGCCATAATTGGGTTGTGTGACAAAAACAAGCTACTGTTACTTTGGCAAACACCTTTTGCCTAGAAAGGCTGTGGCTCAGCGGGATTAACGCGTGTATTAACCTCCTTGATTACTGAGGCTTCGAGACCTTTCTCACTTAATGCACACTCTTTTTATTAAGTTGCCAAATATTTTAACGGAGTTGACAGTAACTAAATTGGATAGACGTCAGACGAGGTTTTCGATTATCAGCTGATAATGTGTGAATAATTTATGCAAAAACTCAAGGCATAAAACAACATCTAAATACTGCTGTTATAAAATTAATGCATAATGAATTACTTTCTTGACTTAACCTTTTATATAGTACACACTTTCTCTGAAGCTCCAGTCCATTGTTAAGAATTAATTGCACTACTTTTGCAAATAGGTTTATCTCTAATAAAAGTCTGTTGTCCTGGAAGTACAAAAAGTAATCGCTTAAAGTTTTCTTATTATTGTAACAATTATTCAGACATCTGTCAGTTTCTACGAATTGTAACGTTAAGCATTTGGTCAGTTGATCAATATTATTTTCAAAAGACGGAACAAGTTACTGAGTCATTGGACATTTTCTGGCTGTGGCTGTATAGTTAAACATTCAGGTGATCAAAATCCTAGTAACGCATTTCGAAGCCACATTCAAATACGACTGTGAGAAAATGGGAAGTTTTAAAAGTGAATGGTACACTTAGAATTAATACATGTTTGCTTGTTTTTATTTCGATAAAACTAATGAAAGAATAGGTTGATCTAAGTTTTATGCATAAAAAACTTAGAATGCCAAACACTGAACACAAAGTATTTGAGGAGATAAGTAACTTCATATACTAGGGCATTCAAAATTCATCTGACAAAAATGTTTTTGTTTCATAACTAATTTAGAAATAAACCTTACGTTGTAAAGAAAAAAATACCCGCTTACTTCATTGGATGGCATTAAATCAAGGTTTGAATAGATCTGTTTCAAGGCACGAATTAATTTGGGAGTCTGAAAGAGAAAAACATAATACAAAGGTAACTCCTATCACCCGTTTGTTTTCTCCAACAGCATTATGTAAAATCGTTTATCTTTCATAATTGTTATAATTTATTCAAACATCTAATGCGTTCAGTTGTTGTATCCTATAACACCAACATTTCATTCTGCACAGTCTATATTGTAAATTACACAGAAAGCTAAAATTCAAGCGTGCCTTTTATCTGTCTATCTTCCGAAATATGTAAAACTACACTGTGTGTCAAACTTTTTTCCTAAGTTCATAAGTAGAGTGTAGAAAGCTGACTGTATATTACTTTGATCTGTAGCGAATGTTCATTATCAGGGTGATTGGAATTTGAAGTACACACATAAGTTAGGAGTAGTTTTATATTAGATTTGAAATTTTCAGCAGTGACAATAAAAGTTGTCCTACTGACTTTATGTATTCACTTTTTTTCCTTCACCTCCCCAGTGGAACATAGGGACTCAAGCTAGTGGCTTGGAGTTTCTGTAGCAGTGTTAATTTCTACAGGATGTGGTTGCTAGCCTCATGCCCAACCTTTCGTCTTTACCAGCATTATTTCTGGCTTAGCGAGGTAAAGGAGTGCGTCTGTGGCCGGGGATCGAATCCCGGACCATGTGCATGATCGGCGAGCGTCCTAACCGCTGTGCCACCGACGCACATGTATTCACTTTAAAGATGCATTATAAGTAATAGTGAGGTATTCCTTATCCTGAAAAATTTACAAACCAATTAATACGTTTTCTGGTTATGTTCACAGACTATAGTATATGAATAGAGTACTTTGACTTGTTGTATATATCTCTGGTTTCATTTCGACAATATAAGACGCAATTAACAACGGCTGTACTAATTTACTTCTTATGAATTCTAGAAAAATATATTTACAACTCTCAAAAATTCCAATAGTTATGCATAAATTAAGCAGAAGAAAGACCAACCAGATTGTTTTCTTGCATGTATGTTGTTGTGAGCTTTCCGGACAACACTATGATTCAGTAATTAGTTGCATGAAAATGACATAATTTTATTTTCGAGTGGAAGAACAGTTTATTTATTGAACTGACGTAGTACATGGATGGAGCAAAGATTGCAGTAAATATTCTGTTTATATACGCAATTAAAACATGGAAGTATGTGGAGGATAACCCTACATTTCACTTTTTTGCTACCTCACATATTGTTGGAAGTCTATAAGCGATTTTACTTACGATTTTAGAACCCATGTCAATTTTGATAGGAAATAGGTCACTCCCTCAAACGACAAACATTATTATGAGAATATGAATATGAATGCATAAAAACTTATGCATTAGGATATATCATCTGATCTACTGAAGTCTGAGACATTGAAGGATTTTAATTCCTGTCTACAAAACATTTTAATTGTGAAATTAACTTTTTAATAACTTGTCTTCCCGAATGAAACCTATGTACATATTTGATAGTTTCCCGTACAATATTTTAGTCCATTAATTTGTTTTTTCACATCTTTGTCTATTGAGATTGTTATTGTTCTTCATTAAGCTATGGCAGAATGTATTACATGCGATTTTTCAAAATATATAACTAAAATACACAACCCAGTAGAGGAATTTTCTGTAGGTAAGGTAATCGTAGCCATTAAAATGAGTGGAATTAACTCTTAAAAATGTGATACCGAACAGTGATGCATATTTTGAAAATGAAGGCTGTATATAGTTGACTGATATGCGTAAATATTATAAACATGAAATCTTTTATAATTATAATGTTGACAGGTATGACTAAGGATGATAATTTAATAAGTTAAACTAACTTATCTCAATCCTACATCCCTGTTAGTTCATTTGACGAGGAATTATTAGTATACATCATTTCAAGTTTTCTTAAATTAGTAAGATGAGATGGAAGTTAGTTGTCTTACTAAACAATACAGCAGTATGTTGACTGGTTGTTATTCCTTGATCGACTATATTTTGATAGAGTTCAGAAATAAATTACAAATAACTTGAATACAGATGATTAGGTGACCATTTATCGCGTGCACATTACTTCTTGATTCTATTATGATGAATGCTAATCTCTTCTGAACAAACAATCATCACTTTCCGAACACACTGCACACTTATTGTTGTCTGGTAGTCAGTTGTAGGTAAAATTCAATGATATCTACCAGTGAGTAAATTTTTATTGCTTAATTCTAAAATCATCATTATCCTATTTGTGACAAAGAGTTAAGAATTTTCCGGTACATACAGACAAACTAGTTTTCAGAAGCAGAAGTCACAAAGTACATTATCCACTGAGACACTCCATACTGCACAAAGAAACGAAATACACTTTATTTTACATACCAGCTTAAATTACTGACTCAACGGTACCAATTACCTAAATAATATTGAATGCATCACTCGTTTTCTACTAGAAACTTAAAATAATGGGCAACAAAGCGGAGGTTCGGAAAATTAGTAAATATGAACAGTAACGAACGGAAAGTTGGTAAAAACATATCTGCACTTTATCTATAATTTTCCGCTTGTGTTTCCTATTATGAATGATTGAGAATTCATTAATGCATTCACAAATGTATCGGTTTTAAGCCAATTCAGATACTTCGAATATACCTTAAAACACAAATGGTTCTCAAAGAACATTTAGTTAGTTGATACGTTACTAGCTAAGGTGGCATATAAGGAAAACACCACATAATCATTCAGTGAAAAATATGTTAAGTGTAGAATATACAACTATTTGCATTTCATTTACTGTCTGGATGCATCAGCAAATAAATCAATAAACCAATTATCTGAACTCACATTCTGATAAAGCTTATAACCATAAAATTCATGAACATTTTCACCAAGTGTATTTTGTCTGACTATAATTCCACATGACTGCAAATCACAAGGATCGGTCCAAATGAATGTGATATTTTCAAACTTATGTATATGATGCACTGTCTGAATTGAAAATAAACACCAAACAAAAAAGGACATAAATTTTAAATATGACTATCATGATACAAAATATTTACTTTATCTATGGTGTATGGTCAAACTAAAACTGAATTTAAATTATTTATTTTATTTTAGTCATTCGGATACATTTGCAGTGTTGATAAGAGTATTAACATTACTGTGATGTAATATTTGACATAAACGCTAGTTTAACTTTAAGTGTGTATACTTCGTAACGATTAGTTTTACAACTAAACGTGTATTTAGCTCCGAATAATTCCCATAGTAAGTTGTCTGAATTGCAGACAGTGAAAATTTTCAAAGGAAGCCAGGTTTTTATATCAGCCTTAATAAATTAAGTGTATTTATTAAATGTCTAAAACCTGTTTAACACATGACGTTAAAGTTTGGCGCTTACTACACAATGTCATTATTTTTCCGTTCTCTAATCTACAGAAAGCCACAGTACACTGACTTTCTTTTTGTCGAAATGAATGAAGTAGCTTGTAGTAATGACAGTTCTAGATTTTTTAAAAATCTTTCGGAACACATTCTAGGCTGGGAAACATACTGAAGAGCAGTCAATGTCACTAAGATGAAGAAAATTCAAACATTGAATAAGATGAACAGTACATCTATAACAGCCACTTTGTACTGAATTTGTGTTTTTAGACAGCAACTGATCAGTCGGTTATACTAATCAGTAGTAAATTATATTCTAAGTGACCTAATTGTCTAGTAAATACTCACTATTGCAAACATATGATGATAATTACATAACAGAAATAGTAAACAGTATTATTTGATATTCAACTGTTAGTTTAATTCCTTTCAGTAACAAAAGTTTCCTCAAAGATCCCGAAGGGTAAACGAATCTAGCCACCGAAAACTGCGGATAAGCGGTCCTTGAACTTAATTTTGCACTCCAAATGTCATTAAACATTTTGGAAAATTTATCACGATGTAACTTTGTATTCGCAATTTTCGATTTCTTTGTTTGCCACAAATACTTTTTCCAGAATAATTATATTATTTATTATTAGTCTTCCTATTTCTGCGTCGCACACAGGGCTTCCTCAGCACATTTTCTCTTAAGACGCTTTCAGCTGGCTCCATGACTGCCCACAAGCCCTCACTTCCTCCCAACATAATCTTGTCTATGTCACCGTCCAACTCTAAACATATCCATTTCTTAATAGGAATAGGGTCCATTCAAGAGCCTAATTTATGATATCACTCATCAATCTCAGCATACGTTCAATCCATCTTCATTTCCTTCTGAATATTTGTTGGGCGAGTGGTTGTTGGGTGGATCGCTGACAGAGTTCTTGCTCATCCGTTCGAGTCAAAGAGCTATCTCATCTCTATAGTTTCGACCCAGCGAAAGGTAGCTGCAATGAACTGCTGGGAATGTCTTTATTAAGGCAATCAACAAATGTCTGAACCATATAGAAGAATAAAACTGATATTGATGTCAAATTTGCATCTTATTCATGTTGCTGAGTGCTGTAGATCTCCAAATTGATTTCAAGGTAATAAATGCCTGTCTTGCTTCCCCCATCCTATGGTGGCTGTCTTTGACGTTCTCAACCATATGAAGATAAGTGACAGATACAAATTCCTTTAGGTTTCTTCGGTTGGAGATTATTAGTGATTACACCCATCATCATTAAGCACTAGATGCTATCTTTCACAGTCTAAGTCGACTGGTAGGGCTGAACATACAAAGTCACTCACATTCACCATTTGATGCATCAGAGCATCAGAGGAGTATATCTACTCCACTCGGTTTACTGGCATCACTGAAATGGCTCCAAAACTGTCCATAAGTTTTTATTTCCTTCTCAAATAATCTTACTCATTTTGCCCTCAGAGCGCATTTCTCCTGTTGACTGGTGTTTTTGTCATTGTTGGTCGGGTATCTTCATAACCTGTCTTCTTCATGTACACCTGAAGTTTTGTCCTCGCTACCTATTCTGCCAAAACGTTTGTTTCCCGTTATATATTTTCGAGGGTGTATGAATTTAAAAATAAATCGTCAACGGAATCCGAATGTAGAGTCATTTTCTCGGAACCGCCCGTCTTCTCATTCCCCAAGAATCGCCTCTTGACCCAGTCCATCACAATCAGGAAGGTCGTCGGTTACAGCAGACAGAGACTTATCACTCCTATCTCCACTTCAGACAGTTTAGTACGCTGTTCTTTTTGAATTACCTGGCAACATCATATATCTTTTAAGGGAGCTTCAGTGTTGCACTTCGTAGAGTTAAAACATAATTAAACTTCATTATCGACGGTCTTCCCAAAGTCGAGTTAGCTGAAACAGACAGCTGACTGCAAATTAAGACTGTACTCAATGACGATCCCAACTGCATGTTAGCCTTCGGTGCTGTCGGTGAAATCATGATAGCCACTCCACTATACTTGTGGTTGTCACTTGAGTGAGTGGACTAAATCATTGATTCTCTATTTAACTATCTGCCCAGTCCATTCCCATCCCATCTGGTCGCACAGATTCCTGTGACATATGTTTTCATTCATGCTGAAATCTAAACCGCTTTTCAGGCCAATCTGAAACATGGTGTGGACATTCCATGTCCACAAGCTTTGTTCTGCTTTCATCGAAAGCAGATGTATAGGCTAAGTGGCTTCCCGAAGGCCTTCACCAGCCCTCATCATTTGACCTTCATGATTCCAGAGGAGAATAAGCTTATTTTTTATTTCTTCTGTGCTCTGAAGATTCTGTATCGACTAGATTGATTTTCGGGAGCAAGTCCGTTGGCCAATGCCTAGCCTCCCCTTTTTTAACAGTCCAAGAACGACCTAGCAAACTAGGAGATTTTTAAACTACACAAGTTTTCTCCACCATAATGCTTCCTATGAAGGATTTCTGCTTCCCTATAAACCATGTAAAGAAATGACGGCAAAAACATCTTCCACTAAAAAATAATTAAAAAACAACACTTACCGAATTTCGTGAACCCAGAACGCTTATCCCATTAGTATCCACGCGAATTTTGATTCTTTTCTTATGTGATTTTGACGTTAGCAGCTGAGCCTTAAGTAATCCAAGTGACCTTTCACAGATGAAGTCACCACGAGGTTCAGATACTGGAATATTACCAAACAATTTTGCACGGTATGTTTGTGGTACAAAGCTCTCAGTTGTTCCAGGTTGATTGGAATCTTTTGTTTCCTTCCCAGATATATCCGAACTTACTTCGATTTCATCTTGTATTGTGTTATCAGTATTTACGTGATGTTTGCACGATTTACCTATATCACATGGATTAAGTTTCTCGTTTCCTTGAGACATTACACCGAGATTTGTAGTATCTACAAGTTTTACGGAAATTTACACACTTATTAACAAAAATAACAATGACACTAGAGATATCTGTTTAGCAACCAATTTGGGTTTCGAAAATTTGTTATGGTGTACGCTAAGCAAAATGCAGTTAAAAGAAAAGACAGTAGGGTAAAAATCAAAGAGAAGTGAACTAGTAATACTTACAAGCGTAGAAAAATAGTGTTACATTGGGGTTAGACTAGAAAATCATTTGTGGAAAGTAGCAAAACAGAGTAGCAAAAGTGTCTTCTTGTCACTCTCTAACTAATGTCAGCTCATGATGAAATACTGTAACCAATCAAATCCCTACAAACCAGCACTTGAATATCGATGAGACGCTCACTAGGAACTTGCCCTATTCTAGTGAGAAGTCGTGACCAATAGGGTGCAGCGGGTCGGGTGTGAGGACAAATACTCGCTGAAGACATTGGCTAGCGGTTGCGCTATATCGTGAATTGGCGGAAGTTAGAATTCATGGAGCATTGGATAGGGTCCCAGTGGCCTAATGGTATACGAGGTCGCCTTGTAACCAGAAGGTCCTGGGTTCGAACCCTGGTGGTGAGTGCGTACTGTTAGAGAGTCCCAAACTAGGACGAAACATCTGTCGAATGTTCCTAGCTTTTCCAATGGTTCTCTAGCTAATGTCAGCTAATGATGAAATCCTGTAACGAATCTGACATATTTACCAGCACGTATAAATACTCAGTGACATTCTAGGATGCTCCTACTATCTCCTTAGAAATGCCAAACCATTTCGCTCAATTGCCTGAAGAATTTGATCTTCTCATTCAGTCATGAAAGTCAGAAGCCGTACTTTGGTACTGATTTAAAACTTATCTTTATCAAAGTGATAGTAAGTACTCAAAACGAATGAACTTCGTTTTTCAGCTAAGTGATGATCCTCTTGATTTCGCGATTAGTTCTTGTATATTACTTTATTTATGGGTACACGTAAGCAATCTCATGCACACATACACTCGTGGTTATCAAAATATGTTAATTATGGATTGACTATCCTACTTAAATATATTTCTGCATGATAATTCTTTTGTTCCTTACTCTACAATCCTAAATTTACTGTTAAAGGTGGACACAGTAAGTGTTGCATAACGTTTTTTTGAGACCCACTGAATGAAAGAAAAACAGAGAGCTGTGATAAATGAATGAATTTCCAAGTGACCCTTGAAGATATAAGTATAACACTTGGGCACTGTGGTAGAGTATAACTCTATTATGGATAAGATTTTATTTTGATAAATCACACAGTGTTGTTGTACAGTATGTAATATTAACTGATGACGTTTCGAACACAAACTACTAAAGAACTGATTGCAGCAGTTTTATGTGAGATCAGAAAGAGACATCAATTCCCCTCCCCGTAATAGTTCAAACTCAACAAATTTAGTCAAGAACTACTATTTGTATTTGAATTACCTAGGTATTAAGAATAAATCAAATAAGTCAAGCAACCTCATATCTAATCAGACAGTAAAATGTTTTTCTAAGTATATTTTTATTTTCTGATTGATTCTTCAGCTTTAAAGTCATAATATGATTTGACTTTGTTTATAAATAATACTTATATAGGATTTGAAAACGAAGTAAATATTCACTGTTATTCTACTGAAAAAAAATTTTTTATCGCCAATAAAATGCTAATTTACTAATTGTGCCGAGTTACCGACGATGCTTTAAATGCTTTAGTCACCCATCATCCATCAACTCAGATTCAAACGCATACGAGTAATAAGCAGATTTTTAATTACTTGAGTATAAGACCAATGGGTTTCTCAGCCTTACGGTTAAGTCCATTGATTCTTAATTGTGAATTTCCAGAGAAATGCAGTATAATAAAATGTGACTCATAAAGTATCACTTGAAGGTGTGACAGCTGACACTGAAGTGCGGACTTCAACAGATTAGAACCACCTCATAAGTTGATACATATTAGTAATCTCACTTCCTCCTTCCCACAAAGTTTATGTTCCCAGGTACCACTTTCATCGACGTATACATATCTTGAATTATAACATTACTTGAGCACTACATGGTAAGTATTGCTGATCATTATGAATAGCTTGGAATTACTTCAGCTGTAAAATCATCACTAATTGAAACAAACTCCAAGGGATTGTTCCACGCATTAGGAAGAAATCACAAGTCACTTTACTCCCTAAATACCTACCTTGAGAAACACTCGTAATTTGTTTTCATTTAGTAAGGGTTATCTTATGAGTTTATCCTTCTGCAGAATACTTACTGACTGGCATCTCACATAAGCCTTTTCAGATTGTAACGTTTTTTTTAAACATAAAAATGCAATAGATCTAGATAGGCCATTTTCAAAAGTATGTGAAGACAGCTAATATAACTGGGGATTCGCTGCGAAAACTGACTTATTCTACTGGGCACGAATTAATAATTGATTCATTTTTCAAAGAAGAAACATTCTACTGCGATAACAACAAAGGAATTAACCTGACGAAAATTCATATTTAAAATGATGGTGTTTACAAGAGGACGATGCAAAACTGAAGCTAATGAGAAACATATATGATGGGAATGTGGTGGATTTAGCCCAGGCTTTGACTCATTTAGCCAAATATCCACGAATAAATCTAAACACCCGATATCATTTGTGTAGGTAGTCTTATTGTAATGCCATCTAGATATTCTGACTTAGAGCCCTGTTCTTAAAAATATCTACATTAAGTGTGAGAGGTTCCTTTTGTTATTATTCCTCAGTTTATTTAAAGAGATATTTAATATTTATTTCTATTTCCAAATCTGACTTCACAACACTAAAACTCTTTATTGGAGATGGCCTAGTTTACTTAGAGTGCCATGACAACCTAGTTCTGATGGATGAAGAACCTACGTAGATACCTCGTCTATTTGTAGGAGATGATTTTGCCTACTGAAAATTCAACTTACTTGTGAATTTGAATCAACCCTGATTAAATGGTAGCTGTTAGAATCTCAGGATTCATGTGTAGATTTATCTTAAATTCTTTCAAATTTAGCATTCTACTGCCTAGGCGAAATATCAAATTCCCCGTTAATATCATGGCACTGTTCTACCACTCACTTTTGAAACACATGTATTAAAAGTAAAAAACGCGTGAAAGCTAGAAGTATTGGACTAATGCAGCACTTGTATTATTGTTTGCTCCTGGTATGTCCACTAAACTTGCAGTGTGGAAGTCGAACTCAGAGTATAACTGTCATATTTCCTCGTCTGTTATAGGTTTACCGAACTTCTGTTTACTTTTTGCAGTGCTTTTATGAAGTTTGGTAGCCTGAAGCGCTGCATCTGCGTGTGAAATTCAATGGTTAAAATCTAGTTAATATCGGTAAATTGGTCAATAAAGTTATAAAGCTAGGTTAAGTGATGTGGCTAATAAGCACGATACACATTTCAATATACAGTCTGTCACAATGTACAGTGTCAAGTGAAGTAAGATTTGACTGAAAGTAGGTCAGTAGTAATCGAAAAAAGGTGATGATGTAGTGTGTATTCTGTTCAATACATGGAAGTACAAATTGTCCGTCTGAGGTCTACTTCGCAGCTGAAATTTATGATCACAGATTCTAGATGGTGTCTTTAAAAACCAATCTCAATGGGACAAATGCATTTGTATTACCTAATTTGAAGTCAATTCTCTCTTGTAAAGTCAATTATCCAAATGACTTCTTCGCAACAGAATCACTTCATTAAAGTAGAACACAGAAATAGTACATATCAGCAGGCTTTCGCAAGGTCCTGCCTTCAGTCTAAAGTCAGATAGTGCAAAGATTGTAGCTACATTTATTGGTTACGTAAACTCCCACTGATCCTTTAGAATCTACACCCTATTGTCACAAATTTCAGGCACCAGCGTAAGTCAGCAAAGTGTTTTGAGTGAGTAAAATTAGTATCACCAATAGAAGTTTAATACCGATTTTTTAAAAAACGCTTGCATTTTTCCTCTATTTGATGTTATTTCATCAATACTCAAATGACAGAAATCATCAAAATAATCATTTATTAAATTTTTAGGTGAAAGCGCTGATCTACTTTGCTAAAAATACCTATGATTACCGGCACAACCATCCATAAATAGGTTGTACATTTCGTTTAAGATGTTTTCTCGAAATTTTGAATTTGCTCTTAGCATGAATTGTGTACTCCACACTAATAAGTGTTAAGATCAATTCATTTTCAGCATCATAAAGCAATAATGTCATCCTTTAGGAAAATAATTGAGAGACTTAACATTTCTAGTGAAAGCGAGAAGAAACCAAGCATAAAATATGTGAAACCCAAAAGCTACGAATAAGTCTGATGTATAATAAAGTTCATGCCCACACAGAATAATCAACTCTTCTTTCCATGCATTTTAAGCTGAAGGAAAGGAAAATTTATGCAAAACCTCCTGTAATATCACACTACGTATATCATCCTAGTACTGATTTGAAAACAAAGTTAAGCTTTGACGAAAATTCTGCTGATCAATAAATATAAAGATATAGCTGTGTTACAAACCTACGAGTGTTTCATGTCAGTAATCTCCTGGCAGGTCACGCTAAGAAGTTTAAAACTTTTACTTGTGACGCAACATGCTAAAATACAGAGTAATTTTAGGGCACTTTAATAAAAACGAAGTTAACATGGAACTTCTTCTAAATTGCTTTTATTCACCAAAATTAGTATCCTTTAATCATGCATTTGAATCTTATCTTATTTCGTCGTAAAGACAGTTAAAGAAACTCGGGGGCTTCATTCATTTTGCTCTCAGATTATTAGAGAGAAAGTCGTGCCCATCATTCATCCACTAAAAATAAACATTAGTTTACCTTTTGATTTACTATGAAAACCAGTTGACTGTAGAATTTCAAAATTTTTCATGATACAAATTTAACCACATTAATTATCAGTAAAGATAAGTAAATGCGTTTGATACCGAGAAATTGGAGTAGATGTTGTTGTACTTTTCATCACTTTTGGTAAATACGCCAGTGTTATCCGTATAAAACATACGTATCTCGTTTCCAACAGGACTACTCGATGAAATTTGTGATCAGTGCAAAACAAAAGATATCATCAATTTCAATTTAACTGATGAAAAATTATACACATGCATCAGTGATAGAAACCTCAGCATCTTCATTGTCTTACAACGTCCTACATCTAAAATTAAGTTCCACTTTAGTTCGGGGGCGACAAAAGTGCTATCATCGCCAGTAGCGTTCGATGAAAAAAAACATGAAATATTACTAGAAAGCCTTCTAACAAAAGTAAAAGTTTGGTGAAAAACTGAAAGTCTTCATTTGGCTGAATAAGGGTGATTCACATATATTTAAGTTTCAAAATGCTCAACACCCATATACATTCACAAATCCGGAAGTAAAAATGATATTTCGTTGTGAATTAAACCACAGTGCTATCCTAGTCAGTTTAAAAGTGAGTGAAAAATCTCCAATAACATTGTTGCAAGACTAAAACGCTTCTTGTAAGATCAGTATTCGCTTAAAGAGTTAGTGAGTATATATTAAGTTTCACCATTTCAACATCAGTTTTCAAACCTTTCACGATCCAGACTTTTATTTTCTAATTAGGTGATCAAAGATGAAATTCTAACTATCAAGAAAATGGATGTATATATAATTACATACCAACTTAGAATATGAGATTCATTTTTCTTAGAGTAAAAGTTTTAATTCTCTCATATAATCAACATAAAAGATCTTAAAGTCTCGAGAATAAAACAAACCTTCATATCTTAGCTAAATTTGATTATGCTTTCACAAACAAGGGAAAAAGGTTAATACTTATTGTCATAGGCTTACTGTGAAATGTGCTTAAGGTAACTGGCAGAGAGTTAATTCCAATGTAACCACCACAACATTTGCAGTACTCCTACTACTTCTTCATATGGACGCGATAACAAATGAGTAAATCTGTTAGCGCAACCACCGTCCTTCATTATGTAAAACAACATTCAATTCACCAAGATCCCCTACTTTCACTATAAACTAAATATTCCTCGCAAGATTTTAGTATTTTATAGTAACTTGAGCGAACAAATACCTGCACATAATAATAGTATAAGTAGCAAGAGAATGTCGAAGCATTCCCATATGAAAACACCATCTAAATACAAAGTTTTTCACATGTTTCCTCTAACAAGGTAGATCTCACTGGTAGATACACTAAATGTCAATCTCAACACATGGAAGAAGCGAAAAATAGAGAAAGATTAAAAACTGTATATGAAAAGATGTGGTGAAAGCCAGGCGTAAAGACAATAAGAGCATAAGCAGCGAAGTTATGTGAAAAGGACAACTAAATGTATTTTTTGCTAAGATACACAAACAGCTTGAGTTGTTATTGATATGCGGTGAGTGTATTGGAAATACGATTGTCTGTTAATCCCAGTAAAATTTCATGCGGACTGTAAAGTCACTGGGCTTCCTAATTTTCTAAAGTGTGAAAGCAATAAGTTTTGTCACCCATACATTTTATCTGTCTGTCTACATCTGTGAAAAAAAAATCAGTTCTTGTTTAAATTTGTGGATGGACCTCGGGTCTGTTCAGGAGTCGCTGACAAATCCTACACTCTACAATCACTGAAGCTTTCCTGTTTATTGTTTTTTACTCTTCCTTTAATACATACATTTCAAATGAATTTTTGCTTCATTCCGGTGACTTAATCCTTTTCTCTTCCTCTCTGTTGCACTAGGATGAATTATGGAATTTTATCCATGCCAACGGCTCAAAAAAGCGTATGAGTGATGGTGTAAATAATCAACTCCCAGTCGAACGGAAGTCAGCTCCCATCGGACACTATATCAGCCAAGTTGCCTGCATTTAATTTACATGTCGCCAGAATTCCCCCCAAATTCAGAGCACTTTTATTTATCAGAGAATACAGAACGAATTGCAGAGAATAGATAAATGGTTTTATTATTAGTAGTAGACACGGCCGTGTCGTGAATGACGTTGCAGTTAATGGAGTCATGTGGACGCAACACATGAACCAACCACGATGCCGAATTATTCACACTGAAATGGCGACAACCAGCGGTTTCCTGGTAGATATTGTTTTTTATTTTTCATTTATGATTACAGCTTGAATATACCCTGTATTTTTGGTACAAGTGTGGAACTTTCAGCATGTGATATCGGTAGCCCGAATTTTCCAGGCCGTCCATAGATATCAGGTGTGCATTGGCAGGGAATCGAAGCTCTAACAATGTGCATGGTGGGCGAGAGTCCTAACCATTGCGCCACCGACGCACAAAGAAGAAAGATCATGAGGCCTTAAAGCAACAGTAATGTTCCGTTTTACGTGGGGCAATCAGTGGGAATTAAAACAGCTCTGGTTCTAGGTTGACCGCAAGTAATGTTTCTCTTCTAAAAGAGAAGCTTTTGTTTGAATCGGTAGCTTATGCAGAAAATTGACCAATTTTGGTCGTCTAAACGATAGACAGACTGACAACCTAAGGATTATTTTCTGTGAAGTATACGTTAGTGTCTCACGTACAGATTCTTATTTCTCGTGTATGCTGTAATTTCCTTGTGTAAATATGCTTTTCATTCTCACTCTTGCAATGTGTTCTCGATCAAGCCGTGGATGCATGAATCGAGAAGCCGTTTTATGACAGTGGCGTCTGACGCGATACTTGTATTCACCTCCTAGGTCAATAATTCTGTTCTCCCATAACTTCAAGTAGAAGCCTGCAAAATATGAAAGTGTTCGTCTATCTGACTTTTCCTAGTATATATCTATGGATCCTGTAGAAGCACAGGCTTACCATACAAGTTTCAGGGAATAATAATAATGATGTATATTTTCATATAAACATATAAATTTACATGAGAATGCATGCCATTTTTACAGGCACGATCAAGTATGATATAATATCAAATCGTAGATTGTCTACAAGTTAATAATGTTTCAACAGATAAATATTTGATATATATATATATATATATATATATATATATATATATAAATACACTCATTGTCTGAACCAGGCCGTATAGTTATTGAATTGTACACTTGTCCTCCACTTGGATAGGATGTAACCTGTACAGTACTTTGGAGATCAAACAAGTTTGTCAAATTGACTGAACCTCAGGCGTTTCCCAGTTAGAGCGTCTTTCACCAACACACAATTGATAAGTTATAAGTTGTATGTGCTTGTTTCAATAATTGGCGTAATTTTAAGGAACCGCTTGGTCACTAGGTCAGGTGAGCCAGGCTAAACAGCCAGAGGGTACTACAGACAAGCTCAGCCGTGGAGAGATAGAGGGACACATGGCAGTCATGTGAACTATTTAAAGTTATTACCAACTGAAAGTGGATCCTAATTTGTTCAATCATTCTAAGTAACTGGCTCCTCAGGTACTAACCCAGAAAAGAATTCTCGATTATGTACATTATAGTGATGAGGACTGTAAACGATGGGAGACTGTTATCTTGAAAAGTTGTAGTCAATCAATATTAGGTAGAAGTATGCAAAATTTCGTCCTAAGACCAAAAAAGAGGACAGTGGTTTTTAACCCTACTTCGGAAAATCAAATCAATCGCTACAGAAACTTCATAAACTCCAGGGACTCAGGGACAAAATGAAGTTGGCTGTTGGAAGGCTTTGTGAATCTTGTCAGCTGATGAGCTTCCTATAGATGAAGACAAAGGATGCCTACACAGTGTTCGAAGCTAGAGAGACTGAACAGATTGGCAAGGAGCCGAACAGATACGTTACTGAGGTTCTGAGAATCTTTCGTAGGAACTGGAATGGAAGTGGACCCTCTAAGTTTTTAAGTAAAGAGTCAATAATCTAGTCAGCCATTCAGACGATAGTCACAGTCACACTGACCATGGGGCTGTGATGATGTCGTTATCGGAACCAAACATGCAGTGGGAACCAGTCTCTCTGCAACATGGTGGGAGCAAGATTCATTTCAAAAGCGCAGGAATGTTAAAACCTACAGTGTTACGCATCAACAAACAACTCAGATCTAGAGCGAAACATTTCACAGACAGCTGTTGTCAATAATGGACAAAACACCATATGGCAAACTCGAAACCCTAATGTACGAAATGGGCTGGGATCGGACAGTACCGGAACAGAACTCACCATGAGTCGAAATGAATGAGAACGAAGTAATCTGTGCAGGCTAATTTGCATTTGGTGATTAGAGACGGTATGTACAAACCAAAATATACACAGGGCAGCACGTATTTCACCAAACGCACACATCAGACATCAAAGAGAATACATCCGACTCTCACAAAGACAAAACATGTTGGGCACAGAATCGGGAAGATGCTTAGGTGTTGCTTCAGACCATTGTCTAGTTCACGGAACCTTAAAGAATAATTTGAGAGACTTTATTAAAGCTTAAGTTACACCAAATTTTAAGTATAACACCTGAAGATGAAATAATGGACACATGCAATGCTAACTTTATAGAAGAGTTAGGGACACCATGTAGCATCACCTAGGCAACCTGTTTTGAGGAACAGTAGACGACATGTTAAAGAGAGCCTATATAGATATACGTCATTCGTAGAATACTCGTGCTTAAAGTGGGGAACGGGAGGAAAACCTGCGTCCACGGACCGTTGATACGTGGGTAAAATGAAACACAAGACACCCACTTTTTCCGATTTCAACTAGAAATTATATTACACACGTATTCAGCGAACATACTGTTCACTTTTCTCATATAATGGAAAAAACTGCGACTAAGGAATCTCAAGCAGCAAGACATGGGATAATGCCCTGTTTTATCCTGGAATATAACAGCGCGTAGGGGCGGTGAGACAGATGATACAGACGAAAGATGAACAACGAAAAGAAAAAAAAGTGTAGAGTTTGAGTAAAAACAATTCCATGACAAACTGAAATATGAAGCACGGTGTATTGCAAGAAGTAGGCACCTCAGAACACTACGCAATATGGCTATCTGGGAAATGAAAGACGTAGGTGAAACTAAGATAAACAAGTGGAACCCGAATACAAAAAAGAAGAAACATAGTTGGTATTGACTGATCATTTAGTGGTATATCTGGACTGACAACCAAAAAAAGACATTCATAAATCGTACCGACGGCCACAGAACTCTGAGTGGATACCTATGTAGTGACAAACTGAGAATTCCATGCCATTAAACCGCTGAAAAGAAACTAGGAGGATAGGATAAATGTTCTTAGTTGAAGCCATATATTCCACAACTTGCAGAAACAATAGAAAATGGATAGAAAGCGATGAACGAAAGAATATTTGTTGACCTATCATGAGTGTGCTGACTAACTGACTGGTAAAAACATAGAACTTTACACAGATGTGCAGACGATCGAGTCGCCACACTCCATGTAGCACAAAAAGCAAGAGAAGAATGTAAAAAGAAATGCAACATACAGACAGTAAACGGAGATATGAGACGACAAAATAGTAACATCGAAGAACAATATAGATTATTGGGCATGAAAAGTGACACGAATGGATGAATCTGCGCCAGTTACTGAGAACGATTTTGAGGTTTCTTAAACAAACTTTTGTGGATTTCATTGACTGAGAGGCCATTTTTTGGTTTGATGACGACTGAGACTCTTCAAGCATGACCATATGTCAGCCAAAATTTCCTGTCGCGAAAGGAGTTATATACCCTTGCGTAAGTCTGAGTCCATGTTGCTTCACAGACTCCTCTATTGACTTCCTCTTTTAACCAAACACTCGACGAAACCCCACTATCGCCGACAATGAAATCAGTATAGGTGATATGGTACTGGTCAGAAGAGACAGGGATAATAAGGAAGGAGGGGGAGTTGCTATATACTTTGATAGGCAACTTAAATGTGTGCGCGCAACGGACCCACCACTTATCGAACTCCCAGACTCCATATGGTGTCATTTCACCGTAGGCCACACCAAGCACTTACTGGGTGGCATCTACCGATCTCCCACCTGTGGGGCAGAGCACAATCAGCTACTGCTCAGCACTATCACAGGAATACGAGATTTGGGCTACGACCAAATCACCATAGCTGGAGATTTCAATGCTCCATCACTGAACCTCGGCTCCGGGTGTGCTAAGGGAAAATTTGGCCGAAACCTACTGCAAACTA